GGTCAAAGGCTATGAAGGGTAAAGAGATGTCTCATTCAGAATTGAAACTATGCCAGCCAGGTTTTTGGAGTGGTCTCTCAGATGTGAGTTTGTCCAAATGTGGAGCCAGAAGACCCAGCTCTCATTCCAGGGACAGCTGCTTCTCTCCAATCCTCTGCTTCCTTCTGCAAAAAATAAAGGCAGCTGGACCTTAAGTCCTCTAAGATCCCATGATGCTGATCTATCCTCATGATGTACGATGTATGGACAGCAGTGTAGACTGATGGTTTAATACACAGGATCTGGTCCATCCATTGGTTCCACCACTTTTAGCCTGTATGGTTTTACATGGGTTATATAACCAAATCAATTATCTACCACATGAGCTGTGGTGATACCAAATGAGTTCACAGACATAAAATGCTTCCCATCATGTTTGATGTGTGCTATTCGCTACCAGGGAATCAGCACCAGCTCATAGCAACCTGTCTACCATGGAAGGAAACACTGCCCCTTCCTCCACGGTCCTCGTAATTGCTATGCTGGAGCTCACTGTTGCTACACTGTGTCCGCCCATCTCATGTCGTGTCTTCCTTTATTTTTACTGAGCCTCTACTTTATCATGTATAAAGGACATGACGTGTCCAAGGTATATGAAACAATATCTCACCATACTCCCTTGTAAAAGGCATTTCGGCTGTCCTTCTCAGACAGATTTGTTTGTTCCTTTGAAAGGTCATTGATCTTCACCAATACAATCATTCAAAGGCATCAGCTCTTCTTCAGTCTTCCCATTCATTGTCTAGCTTTCTCATCCATAGGTAGCTTTCCTATCCATAGGTAGTGACTGAACATGCCGTATCATGGGTCAAGCACAGCTTCATCCTCAGGTAACAGCTTTGTTTTCTATGAGTCAGAATTGACTGGATGGCAGTGAGTTTGGGTTTTGAGTTTGGGTTAGTCTGGGTTGACTAGAGAAACAAATTCATAGACATTCATATATGTATAAGAAAGAACTTTATATAAAGAGCAATTGTATATTAAGAAGACATCCTGGCCCAGTCCAGATCAAGTCCATAAGACTGATACCAATCTACAAATTCCTCTTCAGACTCATGCAACACATGCAATGATGCCGAATACAGGAAGATCACAGGCCAGTGGGTGGAAAGTCTTGTGGATCCAATGGCGAGGGAAGGATCTCAGTGCTGGCAAGGGTCTCCACATGGCTCCTCCAGCTCCAGAGCTCTGGCTCTATCAGTGTAGCTCCATGTGACTTATCAACAAGAATGTCTCACAGGGAGAGTGTGTGTTCTACCTCCAGTGAGGAAGATAGGGGTTCTCAGAGTCCTCAGGAGAAGGCCATGCCCACCCAGAAGCCTCACTGGCTATGACCTGATTGACAGGCTATTCTCCACCCTTTTGCAAGTTGACAGGAGGTTATCTAACTGTCACAGAGTTTCAGGAGATCTTGTGTAGCAGACCTACCCAATGCAATGTAATACGTCTTTAAAGGGTGTTGATTGGCATATAATCCAGTGCCATCATGTCAACGCTCACTCATAGAGAGCATTTAGGACAGAGTAGAACTGCCCCACAGGGTTTCTAAGGCTGAAATCTTTATGGGAGCAGAAAGCCTCACTTTTAGGGGAGCAGACTGCCGCATGCTTCTCTGACCTTTCAATTAGCAGCCAAGTGCTTAAGCACTGTACCACCAGGGCTTCTTTTGTCTGGAACATACGTCAAACCAATTGCCGCTGTGTCCATTCTAACTCATTGTGACCCTATAGGACAGAATAGAATTGCTCCTGTGATTTCTGAGGCTGTACATCTTTGAGAGGAGACAGTCCATTAATATTTCACCTACCCAGAGGCTGCTGGTTTCCAACTGCCGGCCTTGCCATGAGCAGCCCAACGTGTTACCTCGACACCACTAGGGCGCCCTATCTGGTTCATCGTGCTGAATCAAGTCTCACGATTCTATTATGGTTGCATGATGTGCATTTTCTGCTTTCATCTCCAACTCTATTCTCAGCTGGCTAAATGTCTCTGTTTACCCTTCATTTCCAGGAGAGTTTTGCCTCTGTCTCTTTGCCTCGATAACTCCTGTTCATCTGCGGATTCCTGCTTAAGTGCCATGTTAGCCAGGAAGCCTTCTCCAGTGCCTGCAGCACCTACTTGCAACACTCAGTTCACGGGTTCAAAGTCTTTCTGTCTCATTGTGACACGAGGGCAGGTCTGACACACTCTCCTCTGTGGGACACAACCTCCCTCCCATGAAGCATATCATGGGTCACATGGGGCTAACCATGTTTGCACACAGGCAGCCACAGATGTGAATCTAGAGCAGTGTTCTCGACATGGGCAACAGTGCCACCTGGGGTACATTGGGAAAGATAGGGGTGGGGCTGGGGCTGCAGAAGCAGATACACTTTATTCTGGATAATGGGCTATGATACAAAGGTATTAATTTTCATGTGGGTGCTGAGTAATTCTTTTGTCTGAAAAGTGGGTAGAAGACCAAATAAGTTTGGGAACTGATGAATTGCCAACACGCAGGAATCTTGAGCAAGCTAGTAAATCTTTCTAATCTTCAGTTCCCTCAACTGTAAAGTAGGGATGATAGTAGCCACACGTCAGCAGGGCTGTGAAGATGTAAACTTGTATTATAGCCCCTAAAACCGTGGTTTGTGAATGGATTTTTCATTTTGTTTTGCTTTTTAATATTTTTTGGTTCTTATTCTTACCTGGAGCCACAGAGCAATGAAAAGATCTTGTTTCTTATCTCAATCACCTTTAAGTAGACAGCTTAAAAATCATTTCAACAGAGACCAAACTAACTGCTATAAAACTCATAGTGACCCAATAGGACAGAGTAGCACTACACCGGTGGGTTTCTAAGACCAAAATCTTAGTGGGAGTAAAAAGTTCACTTTTTCTCCCATGGTTTTTGAACTGTTCACCTTGTGGTTGGAAGCCGAACTTATAACCCACTATGCAACCAGTGCTCCATCCCTCCAAAAAATCTACTGCCATGGAGTTACTTTCAACTCATAATGACATATACCGTATATACTCGAGTATAAGCCCAGTTTCTTCAGCACATTTTTAATGCTGAAAAAGCTCCCCAGATTTTTGTGGTAAAATTGGGTGCCTTGGCTTATACTAGAGTATATACAGTGTATATACTCTATATACTGAGATTATAAATCTTTATGAGGGCAGACAGTCTCATCTTTCTTTCACAAGATAAAGCATAGATGCCTACATTTTATCCTGTATTATGGGCTATGCTACAAAAGTTTTTAATTGTTAGGGGCCCCTGAGTAGCTGTTTTTTTCTGAAAGGGGGGCAACAGGCTAGATAAGCTTGGGCCTTGGAAATCTGTGGCCTCAATAAACATGTCTTCACTGCTTCTGGCGGCTCCAGTGTTTCTTGCCTGTGGTCACCTAAGTCCCAATGCTGCCTGTCATCACATGGCCATCCTCCCTCGGTGCATGCCCTCTTCTTATAAGGACCCCAGTCCAATTAGATTTCAGCCCACCCCACTCCGGTACATCTTATCCTAATTTAAATAATTCATTGAAACATGCAAGGTGCTATTTAAAGAAAGCTCACACTCATCAGAACTGAAGATGAGGATCTGAGCATATATTTTTGAGGGGGACATAATCAAAACTCTTACACTCTCCATCTGCGGGGGGTAGGGGGAAGACAGACAGACAGACAAAACCCAACATAGCTCTACATGGCTCCCGGGCCCTAGAATATCAGTATGTGGAAGTGCTTCCCAAAAAATCCCTAAATGTATAGGACTAGCATAAAAGTGACCACTGGAATTTCCTTTCTTTTTGAAAGCCAACTTGTGTTTATGAGCCCTTCATAATTTGTATGCACACCATCAACTATTTTTATAGAATTCTACTAGAAGATAGAGAAAGAATTGGATCAAGGGCTGCAATATTTAAGATGCACCCTTGAGTCGGTTTCTAAACACCCAAACTCACTGCCATTGAGTCGATTCTGACTCACTGTGACCTTATAGGACAGAATAGGCCTGCCTCTCTGTGGGTTCCTGGGGCTGTACATCTTTATGGGACTGATATGCCTCGCCTCTCTCCCATGAAGCTGCTGGTGGTTTTGAACCATTGACCTTGAGCGTAGCAGCCCTGAGTGTAACTCGCTCCATCACCAGGGCTCCTACTGTTGGTTTCTAGCTCCAAATATATATTTATAGAATTTTAAATATTTAAAGATTCGTGGTTATACAGTTAGCTAATTCTGTGACAAATATGGACATAAAGTAACAATCTCCCTTTCTTTGCAAGAAAGTGCTTAGGAGGTTCTGCTGCTTAAGTACAATCTGTCTGACCACCAGCCACAAAGTGAGAAATAAGCAGGAAAAGGCTGGTGTTTTTATATTTACAAATCTCAGCTAAGATTGCATATTAACAAATTCACAAACAAGCTCTCTCTTATCTATAGTGTTTCATTTGAAAATCTCAGAACCACCTTCCAAACTGGGACTTGGCTTCAGAAATTCTGGTCGGAGTCAAGTTCCTCCACTCTGGCCTGAATGGCAAAAGTGGTTCTGAATGGTTTGGCAGAAGTCTGACCTACAGTTCTCCAAGTGGATCCACTCAAGCTTCAATCCCTCCTGCCGTGAACATTCCCCATTGAATCCCTGGCCTGACTGATGGGAATTGACACAAATTAAATTCTTGTGTTACAGCGTGGGAGCCATTTGTAGAGTACAAATAAAGTGTTCTCTCCTGGTGACACACCGGAGACTGATTGCCAGCTGAGTTTATCGTTGCCCCATTCTGTTCTTCTTTCTGTTCATCATTCTATTGGATTGAACCAAATTGCAAGTAAAGAAAGAAGGCTAAGGATTGAAAATCAATTAATATTTCTTTTTTCTTCTTCTTTTTTCCCTTCAAGTGTGATTATTGGTAGTTTGGGGGTTTCCTCTGTAATTCATTTTAGTGTAGAGCAAATTATGTATAATCTTGTCTGTACAGCCGACCGAGACTCCAAGTTGACCCTCGCTCTCCCCTGCCAGCATCACCAAGGAACCACAGGGATCTTGTCTCCTCTTTTAGAACTGAATGCTTAAACTGTGCTTCACTGGCCTGAAGGAGTCCATACAAAGAATTCAGAAGGCCTCTGGACATTGGTTGGAACACAGTTACGTACTCTTCACCAGCTGAAATTTCACATTCCTGATCTGAATACTGACCACAAACCACAGTTGTGTGAGGTGAACCTGTGATTTTTGGCACCATTAGTGTGATAGGTAGGTTTATTGTACCAACTTGGCCAATAGGAACATGTGCGATTAATAAGGCCACAGTTTGATTGAAAGGCAAAAGATAAATGACTCGGCAAGCCCTGCTTGTTTCTCTTGGTCTCTGTTGATCAGACCAGCATGTTGCTGTCTTAGCTAGTTCTCTGCCTCAATTTGTGAGCTATGCTACCTGTGGGACACCCAACCCGTGGATCATGTAGATACAGCTTGAGGTTCCTCGAGACCTGCTTCGCCATGCTGCTGGCATAGACATCACTTGAGTTTGGGACTGTTGCATCCAGTCGTCTGGCTGACTGTTGGTGACCTGCCCTGCTGTTTGCTGCCCATGGCCAGACTGCCTGCATTGTTCTACAGAAGACTCAGCTGTCTCCTTCCTTGATCTTGGACCAGTAGCCCTTGTAAGTTGAAGGACTTCCAGCATATTAACTGTTCCACAGAAGTGAGTTGAACTGAGCCCTCTGTACTGTTGTGTGGACTAATTAGCTGTTATATTTCTTCATGCTGTAAATATCTATATCTATAACATCTATATCTATCTAATCATAAGTGTCCTAGTTTTGCTTCTCTAGAGAACCCTGCCTAACACAATTCGAATCACAGGGGATTTCTTATCCCATTTCAATTGTCATCCTGATCTTGAAACATCAGCTATGCTTATCACCACTCTGATATGCTCCTTCTAAGGACTTCAGTCTCCTTAGTTTGGACACAATGTCAGAAAAGAGCAATCTCCAGAAAAGGTTTGGTAAACAGGGGCTCAGCCAAAGTAAGGGAAACCATGAATGGGATGGGTTGACACACAAATCACAATAGACTCCAAAGATGGACTCCAACAGTCATGAAGATGGTGCAGAACTGGGCAGCATTTCATTCAGTTATTGCCGATTCAATGGTAACTCACAACACTCTAGGTCATTGAGTCTATTAATAAAGAAGTATATATAGTATTATATCATATATTCTTTTTATTATTTTTGTGTTTTTAATGTAATTGTGTTCTTTAATATACCTGTGCATGTTAGTTTATGTATTTAAAAATGGTTAGGAAATGCTTCATGAGTTTAATCAGATTGCTAAAATGGCACAAACAAGGTTAAAGACCATTGCCTTTGGCAACATTTCCCACCCCCCCCCAAAATAAAATAGTATTAGTGTTAACTATGTGAAGGGGAGGATAATATCCAAAATAAAGGGAGATGGAAAAAGGGAAGGGAGTGGGTAAGGGAAGGCATTTAAGAGGGTTAACAAGTTGTTAAAGTTGTAGAATACAAAACTGCTGATGTGCTATGTAAAGCCCCACCAGCTCACAATGATAAGTTAAGAAAAAGAGAAGTTAATCAATGTTGGGGGCTTTCCTGGTCAAATGGTATTCGTTTCAATTGCTCATCCCTGTTGCGTTACGCTGGGTAGTCTGGAGAAACTGACCAGCGACACTCATCTCTGTACAAGAAGGCACTTCACATCGAGAAGTAAGTCCTGTATCAAGAAGGCATCCAGTCCAGTGCAAGTCAGCTCTTGAAGAGTTCAACTCAGCTCTCTGGGTGCTTGCCAGCACCTTCTTCAGGTTCATGTGGATGTAGGCTAGATGATGCAGAAAGGTGAAATGGGATGCAGGAGGATCATAGGCCAGCGGGTGCAGAGTAGAGCGATCTAAGTTCAGTGGAAAGATAGTGGGTGCCATCCGCTTTCCAGGTGGGGCAGCCCCAGGTGGCAGACACAGAGTCCCATCAATCAAGAAGGCAGAGGGGCAGAGAGAGATGAGGAGCCCAGTTTCTCCTTTATAAGAAGGGCACACCTCCTAAGGGGCAGCATCAGGCTGGGCCCTGATTGACAGGTTGGATTTCCTAAGATTCATGTTGCCATGATATCTAACTGCCACACCTACCCATTAGCTCCACTAGCAGGCAAACAGCCACATCTAACATTGAACCCAATGGACTGGATTCTGTTCCAGTGGGGCTTTATTGACCAAAGGCAGCAGACAGCCAGAGTCTGTTGGGAAGCCAGCCCACCCTGGTCTCAGGCATTGTGACGTTCTTAAGGTTGACTTCTGAACATATTTCAATTCAGTTGAACCATTTTTTTGATGCCTATTGTATATGTGTGTTCACTCAAACCTATCTCTATTGAGCATGTCCAATATGTTCAGCATGGTCAAAGGATGTAGGGGTGAATATGCCCTAGACTCTGCCCATGGGGGAACTTCCAGTCTAGTAGGAAATACAGACAAGGCTAATATAAGCCAAAAAATAAAACAAAACACACTGACTGCCCTGAGGTCAAGGCTGACCCATAGTGACCCTATAGGACAAGGTAGAACTGCCCCTGTGACTTTTTGAGACTGTAACACTTTAAGAGGCTAGAAAGCCTCATCTTTCTCCCATAGAGCTGACTGGTAGTTTTGAACTGCTGACCTTGCTGTTAGCAACCCCACAGGTAATCACTGCTCAACCAGGGCTCCCAAGCCTAGTGCAGAATGCTACGTATTGCAGAGGGTAGGGGAGATCTTGACTGCTTGTCAACCTACAGGAATATACCCTTGACATATGACCCAGTTTTGAATGGGACTGGGAGGTTTCTGGTAGGAAGCATTCCTTGAGCTAAGAAGGACACATTAGAGTTCGCCAGACAAAAGGCAAGACAGGAAGGAGCAAAAAGAGGTACTGGCCAGAGCACACCCATTACAGGCAAGAAGAAAAAGTCCCTGCAGTTGCTCAGAAAGCCAGGAGCGCTGTGGGGAGGTGGTTGACGGGACAAGCAAGGGTCAGACCAAGAAAGAGAGCATGAAGGAGCCCGTTTATCCTGCAAGTAATTAGGAGGGATGAGACATTGTCAGCGCAAAAGGGACTGCTTGTGTTTGCATTTTTGAAAGACCATGTTGACATCCTGAAATCATACACTGATGAGTAAGGCAAGGCTCCCCTGCTAACCCACATCTAGTAGAGGTGATAAAGCTTTAAAATCAAATGACTCATCGTCTTAAGGTCAGTTCTGACTCAGAGGGACCCTATGGCTTAGAATAAGACAGCCCTTTAGGGCTCCTGAGAAGGTAACTATGGGAGCAGTCAGCTTCGTCTCTCTCCTGAGAACCAAGACTGGGCTGGTGGGTTTAAATCGCTGAGCTTCCAGTGCGTTTCCCAGTGCTTCACCCACTGAACCAGCAGGGATCCTAAAAAATCACATCAGAAGACGGCACCATCAGAGCAATAATCAAGCCAGGGACAAGGTTCGCAGAGAGTCCAGAGCAAACCCTTATGCTTGAAGAGAGATTTTTGGTTTCTGAGATGATGTTTTGTGGGAACAACATGACGAAAAATATTTAGGAAAGGAGCTTCCAAATAAATCCAAGGTCCTCAGAAAACATTTACTTGTGGAATGATAGAACAAGGCCACTCATAGCTTTGGCGGCACTATAATTAGGCTTCTGGCCCATTCTTTCTCAGGCCCATAGTGTGGCCTCCACTGCCAAGGTCATTTGGACATTCCGTTTTATCCCTTAGGGGCCTGTTTCCTGTTCCAGTCAATTCTCTGCTCCAAAGTGGTTTCATAGCAAGATTTAACCATTTTCAGCCCAGCTTCCTAGTTGATATATGCAGCACTTCTGAGCACTACTCTTCCTCTGAACTCATTCTCTAGAGCAGGGACTCACACCCCCACACCCACCACGAGAGGTGACTCAGTAGAGGGTTGAGAAATTTGCTTTGGGGGCTCCTGAGCAACAGTCTTTCACTAGTGAAATAGAATAGAGCCGAAAAGAAACCATGGCCCATGATCAAAGTATGCATTATTTCTGTGCAACTTGTGAATGCCTGCTATGTGTATGCAGGTGTGTGCACAGGGTCATGGTCTCTAATGTACATCTTCCTGTGGCTCCTTCAATAACATGCAAATGCTCTTCTAGAGCAGGAAGTGCTGTTTGTGGAGTTCAGTGGGGTTCAGTTGCCACTTTAAAAAAAATCTGTCATCTATCTTATTTTGTGAGCAATTTCTCTTCATAGCTGGAAACAAACTAACAAAAACCTGTTTTTTTAAATTTTTTATTTCTTGGGCTTAACTTGGACCCTGAGGAAGCAGCATGTAAGGTGCTTTAGAAGAACAGCAGGCAGCTAGTTCAGTGTTTTTAATTTGTGGCTCATCACCCTTCAGTGAGTTGTGAAATCAGTTTAGTGGCTCTGACCAGCATTCTAAACGAAAGAAGGGAAGGGGCAAAAGGAAAAGCAAGAGGGAGGGGGATGGAGAGGAAGAAACAAGGAAGAGGAGGGGAGGGGAGGTGTCGATATTCAGCACAAGTAGATATCTGCTCATGTGCAGAATGTCTCTTAGGAAACTGGAGGGTCTAGGATCCCAACCATGGTGGATTCTAGGACGCCTGTGATAAGGGGAGGGGAGGGGAGGAGAAAGGTGGGGTGGGAAGAGAAGGTGGAGAGAGAGAGAAGAAAGTGAAGGAGAGAGAGGGGAGATGGAGGTGGAGGAGGTGGACGCGTATTCAGGCCGCGTCTGACCTCAGGTCACTCAAAGGAAACGGATAATTCCAGGGTGATTCCTATAAGGCAAGGACACGCCTCTACCTGCCATTCTTCTTGACTCTTTTCTGACACCCACCCTCCATGGATCCCACGCTCCTGCCATTGCGGCAGAGCTCACCCCTCCCAAGGTGATCTGCTTCACTGTTGAGCACCCCCTTTTGCCATCCAGAAGTTTGCCTTCACATATGCTGCCCTGGTTCCCCTATAAGGAAACTTTGGACCATATGGACACCACACCCTCCCCTGGACAGAGGACCATATGGATGAGGCATCCTCCCCTGAAACAAATCTGACCCTTATGCAGCGACCCTGTCCTATACTGAAGACATCTTCATCCCATTAAGCCATGACAGCCCTTTGAACGCTACCCCAAATTTGTCACTGTCTTTCTTAATGCCCACTGTCGGGAGCTGCGTACCTTCTGGGTAGGGGTCTGATGCACAGAGAAAAGCCCCTCCTATTCCGGGGAGGAGCCCTGGGCTGTTCCAATGGCAGCTAGTCCAAGAGAGATGGATGCAGTTCCATTCCCGGAAGTTTATAAGCCATCTTGCTCATCTGCCACATTGTGGTGGTTTGTGTGCCCCTGGGATACTGTCTGTCACCTCTGCCATCCATGTTTCAAATACCAGTAGCATTACCGGTGGTGGGCAGGTAACAGTGGAGCTTCCAAACTAGGTTAGAGTAGGAGAAGAGACCTGGTGATCTACATCTGAAAAGTAGACGATGAAATCCTTATGGATCACAATGAAATAGTGAACTACACCGGTGATTCTTAAGCTTGGGGGATCATGCTTACTTATGAGGGGTCGATAGACGCTAAGGACTACTTTCCTCAGAAAGTAGTACAAAATGTTGTACAAAATGTTGCCTATAAAACTGAGGGCCAAGACACTGGGGTGAAAGGGTCTGTAAGATGCCACTCAGCCCAATAACTACGTGGGGTTCTAGCACTGCCCGGTGCTAATTACTTCTCCCCCACCACAAAGAAGCAGGGAGTCAATTCTCACGTCTCCACTGGCTTGTGTTTTGAAGTCTCCCTGCTGCAAGCATTGTGTCTACCCCATCTTATACCCCCACCCCCATCTCTCCCCAGACAAGCTATGACTCTAGAAGTGGCCCGCCCAAACCAGCTATGCCCTACTCTACTCTCAGTAGTTCCCAGGTTACAAAAGAGATCCTTTCCCAACTGCTTCTTTAAGGATTTAGGAGCATGCCAGATGGGGTGCAAAGCCTTTCAGTGATGTCAAAGCTGCCTGCATAGAGTGATGGTGATTGTGATGAAGACTTGGTTGCCAGGAGGGTTTGCTTCCTTCTTTTCAAATGGAGAGCAAATTTACATCACATTAAAGGGCAAGTAGAAGTTTGCCCTACTGCTGGCCATTTGGACCTCTGGGACTGCCTGCCCTTCTTTCTGATAGAGCCTCAAATCCTCCCATTGAGCGGCTCCCTCTACCTGCCAGGGCCATGCCAGTGGTTCTGAGTCAATTCTGAGGCAGAGCGACCCCATGTGTGCGAGAGTAGAACTGTGCTTCCGTGGAGTTTTCCATGGCGGAGATTTTGGAAGTAGTTCTCTGGGTGTCTTCTTCTGGGCTGGATGGGAACGTCTCGCTTCTCCTTAGCAGCCAAGCACTAACCACTGGCAGCATCCTTGGCAGCTATCCTGGGAGGACAGCGCTTGTTCTAATTCAGCTTCTCCCTCTTTAGCCTTTTCATTGTTGGGGAAATTGCTAGGGTAGCGTTGCTATGGTGATTTGACAGGGGACTTTGTAGTTAGGATGAAATGACTTTCTTTAGCCTACAAAGATAAAGCGATTGTTGAAGATGATTTAAGGGCATTTTTGTACCTCAAGAGACTTTAAGAACATTCAAGTTAAAAAAATATATATAAGAACCATGGCAGAATCTGAGGGAAAGCGTTTGGAGCTGGCATTCAATGACTTAAGCTTTCTGCTCTCCCTCCGGAAGAATCAAATGAAGTGACTACGACAAGCCCATCTCTGACTTGCCGAAAGGATTGTCTTTCTTTAATTAAAAAAAATCACACCCCCAAACCAAATACCAAATACAAAGCATTCTGCTCACCTTCCCACCCAACCCTCACCCCGATTTTGACAGGGGCTGTCACCCACATTGGCAGGCTGTTGTTGTTACTGTTCGGTGCTGTTGACCCATGGGGCAGCCTTCTGTTCCGCAGAGTAGCTATGTGTCCGGCTTACAGAGAGCCTTACAGAAGCAGGGCAACCCTCTGGGACTGCGGAGGGGTTATTTCCTCTCTAAAGAGCACAAAGAAGCTTAGCAAAAGATCACAGGATAGTTTTTTCCTAAGATCACATCTTTACTTTACTTTTCGGTACCCCCTGTGGCCTCCCTCAGGGAAGTGGTGCAGCTTGAGTTTGAGTTTGTAAATGTGTGTGCTTCCCTTCACCAATGCTTTTCCTTTGATGATAAGGTTGGTTCCTACCAGCAGTCCCTCTCTAGGGAAAGGCGACCTGGAAAGAGAAATAGGCCCTGCTTCCTCTGATGGCATGCTTGCCCCACCAACTCTTCTCTAAACACAGCATCTTAAGAGAATGTGAAGCTTGCCCTCACAAGCTACTCTTCAGTACATCAACCAACAGGACCGCCAATTTACTTCTGGGGATAAATGAGGCCACTGCGTTTGACTTTCCACTTTGCCCTCTTCTCCAGAATGCAAGCGAGGCCTGCACCAATCGTGACAACCCATTTCCTTTTGTCCAAGGCTCTCGTACCTTAGCTAGTAAGTAGTTTCTAAAGCACTAACACCAGGGCTTTTTTTCTCCTCTCCCTGCCTGCCTCTAAATATCTGCAAGCAGAGGTGTTCAAGATTAGAGCAATTTGGAGAAAAGCCCCTTGCTACGATCAGCCCAATTCTTCTTTCTGAAATCGTTTTTTTTTTTAATTATTATGATTCAGGTGGAAGTTTACAGAGCAGATCAGTTTTCCAGTCCACAAGGTATACCCAGGTTGTTGCACGTCATGGATTGCAATCCCCGCCACGTAACAGCACTTTGTGTGTCCCATTGCTGCTCCTTGCCTTCGGACCTTGGTCCCTGGGTCAGTGCTGCCTTTTTGATCCCCCAGAGGTTGATTATTCTGAGGTGTATATACTACCTTGGTGTTGTTCTTCCCCTTTCCAGCTCCATTTCTTTGGCTGAAAATGGAGCTGGGGTGTGGGGGTGGGGGTGGGGTTGGGGTGTGTGAATTGAGTTCTATCCCTGAAGGTTGATTAAGGGGTTCTGCCAATCTCTGTCCCAGCAGGAAGCCTGGTCTCTTTTGTGATTTGGAATTTTGTCCGCTACACTACTTTGCTCTCCTCATTCCCAACCTTTCTCATGGGGTCCCTTTCAGAGCGCTTGATAGCGGTGGCTCCAGCTCTGCTGGTAGCAGGGTCATGAACACTGCTGTTTGTCTGGTCCATTAGTCCCTGGGACGGGTGGTCCCCGTGCATCTGTGATTTGCTTCACTCTTCTTCTCACGGGAATCCATCAGCCTAAGTTGGCCTCACCAGCCATCCGCTGTATAACTTTGGATGAGTTACTTGTTACTTACGGGGTAGTTGCTTCATTATTATTAATTTAAAGGGAATGCTAATAAGCTACAGCTAACCAAACAATACATGGTAACAACCATGGCATAGGGTACCAATAAGAAGTATTTGAGGGATTTGAATGACAGGCGTCTCTGGGTTGTGCAAATGGTGAGCAAATGGTGCTACTGTGCAGGAGACTGGGTTCTATTCACATGCTTATTCTGAGTAACTAAGTCAGAAAGGATGTGATAGCATTGAGTTTAGCTATGGTTTGGAGTCCTCCTCAAGAGAGTAATCATTTTCATAGTCACTAGTCATTTAAATATCCTTCCTTACATCACAAAATGTATTTTCCTAGTGGCTTTCCTCTTTAGGATTGCCACAGTTATTAACCAGGTTTGGATTAAACAAATCAGTGAAGGGGTTAAAGAAAATAAAGAAGAAGAAGAAATTGCTTATTTTATTTTCCAAAGGACCAATTGTGTGTCCATTAAATAAGAAAATATTATGTGAGAGCAAAAGTGGTATTTATTGGAGATTTCCTTAGAAATGGAATTTCTAAAAAGACAAAGAGTATCTGCATCAAATTGAAGCTAGAGACTAGGGCGATAGAAAGCAAAAATGCTAAGAATATCCAGCATAAATTATTTTTACTTGACTACTAATAAAAGTTTTCCCATATGTCTCCCAGAAGAAGCACTGGAAATGTAGTAGGTTATGAGTGGAGTTGCTAACTTCAGGGTCAGCAGTTCAAAACCACCAGCTGCTTGGCAGGAGAAAGACGAGGCTTCCATGAAAGAGTCACAGACTCAGAAGCCCACAGGGCATTCCTACTCGGAGTCAGAACCTTCTCAAAGGCAGGGAGTTTGCTTTGGGGTTTTGCTGTCTCTCAGGCACCACAAAGCTGCTAACGGTGCATGCGGGGCAAACCAAGCCTGGTTGGTCGTGTGTCAGTAGTTCTGAGTGTCTTTTCTTAAAAAAGCAAATTCACTGTCACCAAGCTGATTCTGGCTCCTGGCGACCCTGTAGGACAGGGTAAAACTGCCCCCATGGATTTCCAAGACTGTACATTTTTACGGGAGTTGCAAGTCCCATCTTTCTCCTGTTTGTTAAAATAGGGGGAAAAAAGATTTTTTTTTTTTTTATTATCTGGTAAGCTAGGTCACACTGGTAATTTCTGGGAACTGCAAAGCATTCACTTTTTAAAAAGAATGAAGTCCTTTTCTGGGCTCCCACCAAGGAAATGGAGGCCATATGTATAGAGGCAAGATGCTCACTTTATCCAGCAACTAGCACCAGGCCCCTGCCTGCCCAGCACTCTGGTGCCACTTGTCCCTCTCCAAGCGTACCTGCATCTACTCAGCCCTCCACAAGCCCACTCAGGAAAGGAAGGACCAGATCAAAGGCCTTCCAAAGGCAGTCAGGGTCCAGGTCTGGCCTGGCTTATTCACAAAGGCCCTAGCTAATTGGGAGTCTTATCTGCCTTGCAGGGGTGCCCTAGCAGGAGGTCCCGCCCCCTCTGCTGCTGCTGCTCCCCCACCCCCACCCCCTGAAGAGAAGGAAGTGGATGGAAAAGAAAAAGAGCTGGGCGGGGCTGATGATGACATGGTCTTTTGGACTAACCCCTTTTACAACAGGTTCAATAAATAAAAATACGACTCCTACTAATTTAAAGATGTCAACAAATGACCAAATGACTAGTAGGTAAGTTGCTGTGGTTACAGTAGTAACAAAACCCAAAAAGCATGTACAAGCACATGGTGTACTTATGATGGTTGCTTTTATAAAAGATTTGTGCCGGTGTGAGGGGCTGAGGGGTGGGAAAGTCTGACATTCTGCTTCTGAAAACTCGGCAGTTAAAAACTCCATGGAGAACATTCTACTCTGGCACGCAGGAGGCTGCAG